CCGGGTGTGTTCTTTCCTTTCTCTCACTCTTATTTAATAGTTATGTCCTTTCATTGAGGATAATGCATATTTTAAGTGTGGGGGAGAGAATCTTTTTTTTATTTTGTTTTCTTTGTTTTGTTTTGGTTTTGTTCTTAAATTTTAAAAGAAAAAAAATTGTTTTACTAAGAAACACAATGCATTTTTTGAAATTTTTAGGCTATAGATCAATTTGAGGTTAGATTGTGGGGACTTGGGAATAGTTCATAAGATCGGTGTCATTTTAACACCTTAAATCTCCCGAATATGAAAATCGATTTAAATACTTGTTATGACATAGTCTTGAGTTCTCGTCCTTTAATAGTTGTTAAGTAGTTTATCTAGCAGTCAGCACCATCTAGAAGTCACACACTAAGTAATTAAGCTGATGCAAATAAGTGAATGATCTCGTGCTTAATAAGAAGTCAAAATAGGAATCCGCCTTTTAAGTTAGGTGACCCTCACCCGGTCACTTAGGCTAACGGTTGTGAAACCTTCAAAAAAAAAGACAAAAAGAAAAAAAAAGTGTCTAATTGTGAAATGTTGAAAATATATGGATCATAGTCACTAACAAGCTTATTTACCATGTGTGTGAATAGATAAAGGGCTTAATGTGATTGCACTAGAATGAAAGAGAGCAAAAAGGAGGATGAGTAAGTTAGACTTAGGCATTATGACATGATTTGGATTGGTTTGTAAGGAGGGAGCTTTATGTTCTTACGATATCCTTAGTGTGCAAAATTAGTACCTATCGATGCAATCTTGACCGAATAAGAGTTTACAACCTAGAATGAGTATCTAAATGCTTTTGTGTTTCATGCGTTTTGATAATACTTTGCTCGGAGTGCAAAGGTTCAAGTGTGGGGGAATTTGATCAGTTCATTTTGATGCATCTTCCTCTATGTTTAGACTTAGGCATTTCTATAGTTTAGTTTGTTTAATTTACTATTTTATAATGTTTTTACAATTCAATTTATTTTCAGCCTTATTTGATTTTCGTTTGTTATTTTCAGCATTAGTAGCTTTTAATAAAAAATTCATAACTGGAGCTACAGGAATTGGATCGAGGCATTCTACCAGTCGTTGGAAAGCTAAGGAAAAGATATACAACTTTCATGTTGCATGAAGAAGCTAATACAGATTTCTTGAGTCTCGAATAATTCATTAAAGTTTCTAACTGTGATAATTTAGTGTTTTTCCCTATTTGGCCTGGTTTATGTTTCCGACCCAGTTGAGTGTGTAATGCAAACCTTATTCTGTTTATAAGGTTTTTGCCGTGCTACAGTGACGACTACCCTAGTTTTTCACGAATTTTTCTTTGGCTTTCATGTTTTCCATGGCGAACTAATGCTGAGGGAAAATCTGCCGATCTCGAAACCCGTAATCCTTTGAGGTTTAATGTAATTCCGATTTAATTTAATTCCGTTCTAATTTGTTTTATAACTTCGTTTGCTTAATTCGTTCTTATAAAATAAATTGGATTTAATTCAATTGATCGATGTTCCTTAACTTAATCGCGGATTAACTTAACTTTTTCGTTAATTTACGCCATCTTTAACCGTCTGCTTAATTCGGTAATTATGAATATAAGTCATGTGGTATTGTCGACTCTTGTTTGTCAATATTGAAATTGAATAGGGATTGGAACCGCTTGGTAAATTGGAATTGTAATAACCGATGATGAGTTGGGAGTCAAACTGGTAGATTAACCTGTTTTAAATCACTTATTTCAAAATCACTTATTTTATTGCTTATTTTCTTAGTCGAATTCTAAATCAAAACGTAAAACCCCCCATAAACCTTTTCTTTAGTTGGTTGAAATAATACAAGAATCCTTGCGATACGGCTTGAGTCATTGTCGCTAAACTACCGTTTTTCAAACTACTCGAATTTGATTCGTGTGTGACAGTGGATCAAGACTCTTCTTGAACTTGATTCTAAAGTTGTACTTCTGATAGCTTCCCTTCTTTGACTTGTCCTTTTGCAGTTTTGGAAAATTAGCAATGAAGTGACCAGACTTCTTGCAGTTGAAGCATCACTTCTGATCATCTTTCTTTTCTCTTGAGCTTTATCCTCTGAAGCCACTGCTTCTACCAAATAATATATTGTTCCTATTTGCCAAATATTAAAATCGTTTAATAACAAAGGTCATCTTCTCATCATCTAAATTTTCTCCAGAACCTTCTACATGAGAAGCTTCTTCAGAATCCCAAACTTGAGGAGCTTTTACAGGTTCATCCCCATTGAGCTACATCTCATGGATTTGGAGATTGTTGATAAGACGTTTAAGACTTAATATGTTTAAGTCTTTAGCCTCCTAGATAGTTATCACCTTAGGTATGTACTTGATAGGAAGACACATAAGAATCTTCTTGACATGGCCACATGTAGCGTATCTCTTGTTTAGATGCTGAAGTCCAGACACAAGAATTTGAAACATAAAAAAAATATGGTTTCAATGTCTTCATCCTCTTTTATTTTGAGCAACTCATATTAATGAACCAGAAGGTTAACCTTAGCTTCCTTAACTTGTTGATTCCCTTCATATGTAGCACATATGGATTCAAAAATGGTCTACCAGTAGATTTACCAATGGTATTGATGTACTCTTAGTGAGGTAAAACATCAACCAAGATGCCTTTAACTCTATGATGTTTTCTATAAGTTTGTTTCTAAGCAAGTATGAGAGTTTTTCTATCAGACATCATTCCAACTCTATTGACTGAAATATCAATGTCATCTTCTAGAATATCCTACAACTCATCATCAAGACTTACGATATGAGTATACATCCTTCTCTTTCATCATTCAAACTCAGTAGAGTCTCCACTGAAAGTTGGAGGTATAACTATATAATTGTTTTTTTAAATGTTATAACCATGGTTAATAGCAACACATGGATTATGAGTACCATTATCTGACTCAGAAAATCAAGACATGTTTTAATATGTTTTTCTCAAGATCTTTTTTGCACCATTGTTAAGCGTTTAGCAAAAATTATACTCTGATGTCAACTGAAGGTGAGAAAAACACAAGAATGAGAGGTTGAATTGTGTTGACTTTTTCTTTCTTTTTAAACTCTTAGTGAGATTATAAACACAAAGTATATAATTTGAATTAGAGGTAAGAGGTAGGCATCAGATAAGTAAAGCAAGAAAGAAGAGAGAGACACTAGTTCCTCTCATAACTCTGGAGTAATTTAGTTCCGTTGTACTTACAAGTGATTTTCACTATAATCACAAAAGATTACAATTTACTCAATTTCACAAGCAAGAGACTTTCAATGCTTAAACAACAAGTAAGATACTTATATGCTCAAACGCACAAGCAAGAGACTTCTAATGTTCAAACACACAAGCAAGAGACTACTATGCTCAAGCACATAAGCAAGAGACTTCAAATTCTCAAACACTAAGTAAAAGCCTTCTAACAATTTACCCAACCGATAAAAGATTGTTTGGGGTAATACACTTGATATAATCAAAGGTGTAGAATGAATACAATGCAAATAGAATCTTTAAAACTTGGGGATTTCAAAAATATATACGGATAAGAAATTCTAAGTTTAACTTGTGCTTTTGTTTTGACAGAGTAACTTCTCTTTTGAATGTTAATAGTTTACTATTGTTCTTCAAGTCTTAAGATCCTTATATAGAGAAGAAAAAGAGTCGTTGGAGAACTTGCACGTGATATTTTTTTAGAAGCTTGAATAGAGACGTTAAGATGTTTCTTCAAATAGTCAATGTCATTGAAAGCTTGTTTGAAATCTCATTACTACAAAAGAAAATATCAGCTGCATCTCCGCTGACTCTATGATAAAATAGAGCTTAGGTCTTCATGTGACAAAGTAGACTCAGAGGATGACAATGACCTACCAGAGTCACATTAGTCCGTGCGCTTTGACTAGTTCATATTCTGATCTTCAGAAGCATACTTCTTAAAGTCTGATCTTCAGAGGCTGACTTCTTTAGACTCTAACCTTTAGATGTTGACCTCTTCAGAAGTTTAATTCTTCAAAATCTAATATTCAACTTCTGATCCATCAAATTCTGATCTTTAAGCTTCTCTTTAGATGTTCATTCAGAACCAATACTTGGATTATTCATTAAATTTTAGTCTATAGTCCTGCACACTTGAATAAATATTAGTTATTCAGTTGTTCTTTAAATACTTTGTTATCATAAAAATTTAAAGGATATGAAACATACCAATTTTGTTCCAACACAAACTATTTTTTTTACTTGAATGTTAAAATTTTAACTTTGTCGTCTACAGTCCTACCTATCATCAACTATTTATACTTTCTTATTAGAATATAAACTAATTTGAAAAATGAGATGAACAGAAAAGAGAGAGAGAAAAAAAAAGGTGAAAAGAAACTAATTTGAATAATGAGATGAAAAACATATCAAATTATTTTTTTAAGCAGTTGTAGATCAATGATAAAAAAAAACATATCAAATTCTTACACCATCAGAATAATATTTTTCACTCTGTCCATCGGAATAATATTTTTCACTCTGTTTTAAAATAACTGTCATTTAAAATTTTTACACATAAATTAAAGAATGCAATATACAAATTTTAAAGAAGATTCCTTTTGAAATAAATCAATAATATTATCATAAAATCACATTTATTTTGAAACAAATTTTATTTATTAAAATGACATTCATTTTAAAACAGATGGAATATCGAATAACTAATAATTTTAAAAATTAAAAACATTTCTTCATTTTAATTTTAATTCTTAGGCAATTCCTCGTTATTACCATATAATGATGGTTTTCATGTGAAATATTTTTTATAGGATTCTGGACTTGACTCAGAGAAAAATAAGAGTGAAGTTGAAAAGGTACTAGAGAAAAATAAGAGGACATAGATTGCAATTTCTTTATCATTCTACCTTAACTGGACCAAGGTTACATCAACCAACCCAACATCATCAAATATGGCTTCACTATCCCATTTTACATGATAATCTATTTAAGAGTTTCAATTGTGCTGCTAACTAGCTCAGATGACATAGGAGAATGAAAAAAGAGACAAATAGCTGAAATGTCATCAATGGCAATACCCCTTCTCTTACGTTTCCATGCATGAACTGCACATTGCACCAAACATTTAGCTGATTTTGCTCTATCTGCTGCCGAAGATACAATATCTACTGCTTCTTGATTCGAGATCACATCCCAAACCTGCATCACAAACAAGTTCAATCATCATCTGTTTCAAGTTTTTAGAGGCGCTGCGTGGATTTGTCGCAGTTCAACCATGACAAAACAAACATAGTTTATTCGTGACAAATATTTTATGTGAACCTATATAGCTAAGGTTTAATCATGAGAAATTTTAGGCCATGTGTGTGGTGATCTGTTTTGCACGCCTTCAAAGACTTTATGTGAACCTATATAGGTAAGGTTTAATCATGAAAAATTTTAGGTCATGTGTGGTGATCTGTTTTGCACGCCTTCAAAGACGGTCATCGATTTAAAAGTCTATCAGTTCGAATTTCGAACTTCTATCCGATTTTAATAGGCCAAGTGCAAAACTACTTACCCCATCAGAGGCAAGAATAACAAACTGATCTTTACTGCTTATATTCCTCTGAGTCACTTCAGGCACTGAAATAAGACCATATTCTTTAAGACAATAATCACCAAAAGCTCTTGACATGGCGAGTCCGGGAGATTCTACGTCCGGCAACCATACCCTATGCACGCCCGGTTCATCCTCTAAACAGAAAACGCGTCCTTGACACTGAGTTATTCTCTCTGCTTCTTCTGCAAAGATGCTATTATAGTATAGTGAGAAGCTAATACATTTTTTAGTTATAATGATTAGAGATGACGCGATACTAACGAGGTAAATTCGGCTTGAAATCAAGTGTTAGTTGAACTGCCACCAAACTTCCATCATCATCATCTGATGTTGTAGCTAATACCGCACGAGAATCGCCAACATTTGCTATGATAATCGTTTCACCCTGCATGACATTACAGAAAGTTGTGATCAAATACAGATCCAGATTCTGTGACATTGAGTCTAGAAACATAAACGTGTGACTGAATCCAACCTTTGTTTCTGTGTATTTACCTGTCTAACAATTGAGAGGGCAGTTGTTCCGCTGTGAAACGAGTCGAACTTTCGACAATGCTCGAGTTCTTGATCGATGGAAGCACATGCCTTCAAGTAAGAGTGCTTCCATATATTGAATCTTTGTTGCTTGTTGTCTGGAATTTCAATTTCCTTTACATGATCATTATCAAGTGATGATGAAGATTGTGCAGCAAGTGTCTCTTGCCAATTGCATAACAAAGATCTTGGCATTGACTCTCTCACTCTTTTCGCCACAAAATGACCCCATGGTCCATGTCCATCAAATATTCCACAGAATATCATGTCATCTTGGCATCCAAATTCCTACAAGAAAACGTTTGATAAACTCAAATCATAAACCCACTAGAAACTCTGACACAACCGTGAGTACCAGGATTTGAATCCTGACGATGGCGTCCAACCTGTCTAACCTAGCAATATCGGGTTCTGCCAGATGAGCTAGGATTTGTGGACTAAACAATCACTTATAGAACAAGAACAACAAAAAAGAGATTTTTAGTATATTGAATTTGTGTGCATACCTCCCACACTATGCAACAATCTTGGTTGCTTCCTTTCTGACCTCTTTTAGAGAAAACTGATGCAAAGTTATTTGAACCATCCACATTAACAACACCAGAGCTACACAAAATCAAATCATTTTTCTTGGCTTCTTTCGCCATTTCCTCAACGGCTTCTCTCCTTTCACATCTCACAGAATTCCCACCTTTCCTTAACGAAAACGACTTTGCCAAACCATTGAACATAGAAGATAAATGCCCCATCCAAATCTCAATTTTTGTGATACGATATAGTATTCAAAATCTGCACAAAACATATATAGAAGAACAAAAGTAGCAGGTAAGAAATTGTTGAAAACAAGACATTAGTTTATTTACTTTTATTCTTGTCTTTTGTCTGAAATAAATATAACATGTTAAGCAAGTTGAGAATGGCGTGACTTAACATGAAGACAATATCTGACTCACAAGACTCAGAATCTCAGAATTTAATAATGAAGAAAAACTGATTCATGTGTTGAATTTCAGGAATTCACTTTTCAGAGAAAAAAAAGATGTAAAAGAGTAGTGGCATAATTGAGTAGAATTACATAGAAATTGATGAAAGATGTAAAGAAAAAAAAGGATGAATATGGATAAGGAATAAGGACCTTAGAGAAGATGAATCTGAGAGAGGAACAGGAACAGGAACATGTGTCGACAAGGTAAGCTGAGAAAACGAGAATCCATTATTATGAGGACTTTAGTTTTGTTTTCTTTTTCTACTGTTAATGTATGGCCTACGGAGAAGGAAACAAAGACATAAATGATATAATTTGAGTTTTGGATCTTATAATAATTGCAAAGAAACTGTATAAGTAAATAATAAATATATAATAAAAATAAATATCTTGTATAACGATCTTTTTCATGTTCATCTTGTCATATCATGGTCAAGTTTCTTGGCTCAAAAAGGGTTACGTGGCTTCTTTTGATTTTACCAAAACAAGGAAGCATGGTAAAAAAACGTTGATCTGTATATATATTATTAAAAATAGCTAGTATGATATGGTGGTGCTATTTTAAATCAAAATGTTAATTTTATTTAAAATTTAATTTTTTTAGTTGAAGTTATAAATTGGAGAGAAAAAATTTATTATTATATTTTAATTAAAAAAATTATTATTATTTGTTTGTAAAAATTAAACGATATGTTTGTTTCTATCTAAAAAAATTTGGCCGCATGTAAAATTTGGTCCAAAAAATACGGAGCTAGCTATGATTCTCGTATTCAAAAGTATGAGATATGCATAGATATTGGTACCGTGTGATATTGTAAAAGTGTATTTCACAAGTATCAAAATATGTATTATATATATGTATTAGATATGCACGGGATGCATAAAGCTTGGGTGTAGATCTCAAATTCTTACATTGGATATTTGTATAAAGTGTTAAGTTTAATTTTATGAATCTATTTTGTAAGAAAGAGTTAATATGATATTAGAGTTTATTAATCGTCTATCATGAATTGTTTATCTTTTATATCAATGTTTCAAATTTATAAATAAAAAAATTAGTGTAATTAAAAATTTTCCAAAGTCACACTCTAAACATTTAATCTTATGACGCAGGTTTATGGGACATTTCGGAGATGCATCTCTAAATACACCTAAATAACATACAAAAATGCATGTTCAAATCATATTTTATTCAAAAGGGGGTGAATCTCCGAATAGCGCATTGTTGTGTGATTTTGGACGTGTATTGATATGCATCTCCAAACATATAAAAGGCATTTTCGGATTTTCAATGGTGTGGGATGCAGACATAAGGGTTGAGAAATATCCCCTTTTCCTATTGGTTTGGGCTAGAACATGCTCCGACCCATCTTCCAACCAAACCATATCATTCTTGAACAGGGCTTCCTTAGTTAACATGTGCACGACTACATTTCTTTCTCTCTTCACATCTTCAAACCTAATATTTCTGAAGCTTTTTTTTTCTTCCTTTTTTTTGAATTTGGTTGTAGATGAGGTTCCATTGTGTTTTATGGGACTCATCATCTTTAAACACATTTACAATGGTTTGGTTATCTGCTTTGAACTTCACATTGAGAAAGCAACTTTCAATCACAATATCGTAAGTTTTTAATATGTTAGTGCTAATGCACTTTGATGTCAAAGGAGAGAGAGAGAGAGAGAGAGAGAGAGAGAGAGAGAGAGAGAGAGAGAGAGAGAGAGAGTAAAAAGAAGTAATTGTATTATTAGAATTGATTTGAAATTGAACTACAATATGTATTTATATACAACTAAGTAACTTTACTACTAAGTAACAAACCCTAACCCTAACTAACTTGGGCTTGGGCCACAACTTGGAATATATCACAACATACCCCCTTATAATCCAAATTGTCGTACACAAACTAATCATAGTCAATCTAAATTATTCCTAATTTCTTTCTCAATGTTAGGAATCTGTCAATCTTCAGTCCTTTGGTGAAAATGTCGGCCAACTATGCTTCACTCGAGAAATGCCTCACTTCATGTTCACCCTAGTTTACCTTCTCCCTTAGGAAATGAAACCTAGCCTCAATGTGCTTACTCCTTTCATGCAAAATTGGATTTTGTTTGCAAGATTAATGGATGACTTGTTGTTGATCTACATCACCAGATGTTTCTTCACTTCGACCTCCATCTCTTCTAGCACAGATTTGATCCAAATTGTTTGACAAGCAGCATAAAATCCTGATATATATTCAGCTTCACATGATGATAATGCCATCACGGGTTGCTTTCTCGAGCACTATGAGATTGGGGCACCACATACTTGAAAGAAGTAACCGGTTGTGCTTCTTAGATCTCCATTGTCTCCACGCCAATTTTCATCTGAATAGAAATTATTCACAACTTCTATGCTTTCAGAATATCTTTGAAATATACTTCCATAGTTTGTCGATCCTTTTAAGTATCTTAGGATTATTTTTGCAGCCTTCATGTGTGACACTCTCTGTTCACTCATGTATCTGCTCATTAATCCGACTGAGAAACCTAGATCAGGTCAACTGTTGCACATATATCTCAGAGATGTGACAATTTGTTTGAACAAAGTGGCATCGACTTTGTCTTCCTCTCCATGTTTCTCCAGCTTCAAATTTGGTTCGACATGTGAGGATACAGGATTCGAGTCTTCCATTCGGAATCCCTTGAGTCTCTTTTGACATGCTTTCTTTGATGTAGCATCATACCTTGCTTCGACATTTGAAATTCCATGCATAGGAAGTACGACAACTTTCCTATATCTGAAATTTCAAATAACTTCTTCATCAGCTCTTTGAACTTTGACAAGTTCTACAAGCTATTTCCAGTTACTAACAAGTCATGGACATATAAGCAGATAGTTGTTATACCTTATGCCACAACCTGAACATAGACCCCATACTCAGATTTGCATTTGATGAATCTCAATTCGACCAAGTATGAGTCATTTTCTTGTTTCATGCCCTAGGTGCCTGCTTGAGGCTATATAGCGTTTTATGTAACCCGTATACTTTTATTGCTTCCTCATGTATCACAAATCCAGGAGGTTGTGTGACATATATCTCTCTTCATCTAGAGGACCATTCAAAAATGTTGATTTCACATCTAAGTCAAATGTCGTCCACCCTTGCTTACATGCCAAGGCTACCACCAATTGAGCAGTCTTCAATCTTTCTACTGGTGCATATACCTCTGAGTAGTTGAGTCCTGATCTCTGAAGAAATCCTCGAGGTACTAATTTTTCCTTATGTCTTGTTATATACCCATCATCATTATGCTTCAACTTAAACACCCCTTCACTTCGATAGCTTTTGTATATGTTGGAAATTTGACAAACTCCCATGTGTTGTTTCTTTCGATTGCTTGTAACTCATCGACCATAGTTGACTTCCTTTGTTTATTCATTAAATCCTCGCTATAATTGATTGGTTCAGCACCCATAAATAAAGTGAAATGAACCAAATCTCCATCTGGTGCGACTTTATAATCACCAACCACTTCACAGTCGTGAAACCTTGCTGGGAGTACTTTGGTTCTTTGAGGTCTTTGGATTGTGTTAGTTATATCTTCTTTAACTTCGAATGTGTCTGGAATATCAGCAACTACTTCGACAATGAATGGAACACTATTGACTGGAATTTCTTTGATGCTCACTACTTTCTTTATTAACTTCATAGCCTATCAATGGCTTGTTAGTCGCATCACCTGAATTCTAATCCAAGGAAGAATTCTCATCAATCACAATGTCTTGACTCACCACTATTTTATTGTTCATTGGATTGAATAGCCTGTATGCTCTAGTCTTATGATCCTACTAGAATCATAGGTTCACTCTTATCATCAAGCTTCCTTCTCTTGGCATCAGGAATATGCTTGTAGAAAATATAGCCAAACACCTTCAGATGACTCATTGATGGTCGTTTGCCACTTCAAACTTCTTTAGGAACCTTGTTCTTCAGCTTCTTGGTAGGGCACCTATTTAGAATATAAACAACTCTGATGACAGCTTCACCCTATAAGGACTTGGGTAAGTTCTTATGCTTCAACATGCATCTCTCCATATCCAATATGGTCATATTTCTTCTTTCTGCTATTACATTATGTCGAGGCGTGTAAGGAGAGGTTACCTCAGAATCGATACCATGTTATGCACATAACTCTTCAAACATATTGGATGTGTATTCTCCACCTCCATGTGTTCGCATAACCTTGGATCTTATGTTCACTCTGGTTTTCGACAAGCATCTTGAATCTCTTAAAGATTTCAAATACTTCGTCCTTTCTCTTGATCACATAGATCCAAAATTTTCGACTATACTCATCGACAAATTAGAGAAAATACCTGTTTTTACTAATGGTATAATCCTTAAATGGGCCACATACATTTGAATGTACTACTTCTAGTATGTAAGAGGACCTCATTGGCATAGTCAAAATAAAAGACTTTCTGGATTGCTTCCCTACTAAGCAACCTTTACAGAGTTTGTCAGGCATCTCAAGACTTGGTATACCAGTTACCATATCTTGAGTAATCAGTTGATTGAGTGACCTAAAATTCAGATGGCTAAATCTTAAATGCCACAACCAACTATTCCTATGGTCGACACATGTTTTTAGGCATTGTACCTCAATTGAATTGATCATGTTTTTAAATGTCCTATTCTTCGGCAGAAGAGATTTCAAGACCAGATTATTCTAAGTGTTGAATAGTTTCAAGGCTCAATCTTTCATAACCACTGAGAAACC